TGCCGATTTACAAGTGAGCGCAGAGGCAAGGGCAACAGGGGAGGGCAAAGTCAGCGAGGCAGAGTGGGAGAGCTGCGGAGCATGAAGCATGGGCGCGGAAAACCTGAGTCAGCGAGAGAGCAGAAAACGAAACGCACTTTTTTTCTTCGAAAGAGGCGATGACAGCCGTGACGCTTCGGGTTTTTCTTTGAAGGCCTTGTTTTTTCAGTCGTGTTCATCTCTTTTTGGTGATTACTTATCGCGTCTGCAAAGCAAGTCTGCGTTCGCGCTGCGGTGATACTACAAATGAGTTCATCTCTGCTTGCAACTACAAAGCGGCAGCAGTTTTCGCTAAGCGAGACAATGAATATTCTTCGGCAACTGGAAAGGCAAAAAACAGGCTGTTGTGACCAAAAAACCAAGTTGCACGACAGGAATGTGAATGAGCTGGAGGCCTTCGCACTGCAAAGTTTGTGCTGCTCGCATAAAAAAAAATTAAAAAATTAAAGACTTCTTTAAATAAACGCCGCTTTTTGGTGTTTACTTGTGCATTTGTTTTTTGTTTTTCTTGTGAAAAACGAGTTCAAGGACCCACTGTTGGAAAGGTATATCATTTTGGTCGGTGAAAAAAGGTATTTATGGTTAATTTTCGAGCTTTCACTATAACGACCTTTCAAAATAATAAACGAAATTCCGCGGTACCCTGAAGTTTGTTATACCGAGACTTTAGTGTATGTCCTAATTGTTGATTATTATTCCAGGTTCCCCGAAGTAGTTTTTGTGGAGTCCATCGCGACACCAGCGGTAATTCTGGCAATCAAGAGCTGCATCGCGCATTTTCCTGTACCAGGTGTAGTCTGGACCGACAACAGACTGCAGTTCGTGTCATACGAGTGTGCAGAGTTTTGCACAGTTCTTAAACTTCCGCCATGAGATCAGCAGTCTAAGGTACCCCCAGCACAATGGAGAGGCGGAGCACATGGTGCACACGGTGAAAGAGTAGCTCTCCGAAATTCCTGATCCTTTTTGAGCCGGGGAGCCAAAAAACGAGGTGGACTGCTGGCAAGCGGAAACCAAAAAAATTCCCTCTCCCAAAATCTCATATATACACTCGATGGACAGTTGTGCCTTCTTGTGGCCACATGCTACAAAGAACACTGGCAGTGCCCTCTACGATCCTTACCTGACTTTACTGTCGTACTATAAGATGCCCAGCCCTAACGACATTTCTCCAGCCGAAGGCTTGATAGGAAGGAAATAGCAAACTAGTGCCGTCATTACCATGTCATACGAGTTTCAGGGAAAAGAATACGCGTCACAGGGCGCAGCCAGTGAAGAACTAGAATCGCCATCTAGCATCAAGCAAGCTGACGCCTCTAGTCTTGGCATGTGTGGGTCACTGACATGTGCTGAACTGGTGAAGTGCTCTCACAGGCCCAGCGTCCACTGTCCTACTTTGTTCAGATCCCCAGAGGCGCCCTGCACCGTGATCGTCTACACCTAGTGCCTCATTTGACGAAAATAACTTCACTTCAGAAAACTGTGGCGGTGATTCTGTGACACGGACTGGCAGTGGTTGTACAGTGAGGCCACCCCAATGTTTAAAAAATGTGAAAAGGGGCTAACAAAGGAAACTCTATGTGGATGTGAACTGGCTACCTAGTCTGCGATTACAAGTCAGTCTAACAAGCAGGTGCTTGCGCGTGAGCCCAGTAAACAAGTACCCACTTCAAGATAGTCTTGAATTCTTGTGGTTTGTTTACAAAATTTAGCTGGAACTGCTAAATACAAGCATTTTTGTCGGGACACTGTGCAGTCGCCCCTACCAATGAGTAAACTATCATCATTATTCATTATTGTCACCCCCCCTCGCCTTTTTTATGTAAATAGTGATAGCGGTAGCTGCCGTAAACTGTCATCATTATTATCACCCCCCCCCCCCCCCCACCTTTTCTTTTTTTGTAAACAGTGATAGCGGTAGCTGCTCAGGTGTGCTGTGGCAATAGTTTTGCACAATTTAAATGCACGACCAATGGGTTTGAGCAGTTTTTGAATGCAGTTATTGTTACGAGAGTAGATTATTTATGCACTCCCACTTCAAAAATTTTGTTCATGAGGGACTGAAGTAAAATAAAGATATGTTTCATAGTCGAGATTTTCGAAATGCATGAGCTCCTACTGGTGTTGCCCAGTGATTCGAAAATATTTTGTTGTGGTGAGAATTTCATTTCCTTGGGATTTCGTTAGTGCAGATTTCAATCATAGCGCCAGCTATTGAGAATAAGAACCATAAAATGGCCTCTAAGCTTGAATTTGTCGCACATGTTTGAGGCCATGTATTCCACCAATACACCCAGGCATGCCAAACCTAGAGATAAACTTGAGGATGGTGCTCATAAAGAGTTCGAAAAAATTCTGAGTGTCTGCTGTCGAAGCTTCTGCGGAACAAGCTGAATAGAATGCCAGCATCAATTAAGAACTTGGAGGTCACACAGAGCTCTGCGACAACTTATTAGATCCGTCCGAGGCCAGCAAGAGCCATTTTGGCAGCAGCAACAATGGCTTTACATAGCAGAAGTTGCTGCCAGCTGTGCGTTGACTAGTTCTCCATCCACTGAACTGCTTCCGACGCTGACACTGCAGTTGTCTATAATGTCCTGAAGTGGCCGTTTTGGCCACAGGTAGCGTCGAATCCGAGTGTCATCAGCGTATGAAACAAACACCGGTAAAAACGCTGCATATAGTTTGGCCTTTCACATTGCTGACAGCTAGTCAGCTAGCCCAAGTCCGAAAAATTGAACGGCGCACTGTGCCACGTTCAAAGTTTCGGCCGTAAGTTTACACCTTCAATGGATGAGTGATAGTGCCGCAAAGGTGTCCAAATAAACAGTTAGTGACTGTATAGCCTAGAACATTTTTCAAATTAATTTCAAAGTGTGTGTCACACCCCTGCACCTGAAACACGTCTTCTATTTTTGTGCAAATAAACAAACGCCTCCTGCACCACAAAGTTGTGTTGGCTGCCATGATCCTTGTGAGCACTCTCTCCTAGCAGACCTTTCCCACAAAAAGAGGGGGCAGATTTGCACGAAACAAAAGGCGAACATCCTTGCCTTCGCCGTGCTTTTTTTTCCCCGAGGATTATGCCTTAGAGAGGATTATGGCAGCACCCAGGAACCTTTCATTGGGAAAGAGTTATGAATACAGCCCTTATGCGCTTGCAGTTTTGTGCGCTTGTGTGGAAAGCTATGCCTACAGGGAAACCGGTTCACTTTCCATGTTGGTTCTTTGAAACTAAAACCCATGCTTTTTGACACGGAAAATGTGGCTGAATGCTACAGTCAAACCTCAATATATCGAACACGGATATATCGAATTATTGCCTATATTGAACGGTTCCTATATCACGCGGGAAATCGCATGCATTATTGATTTTTTATTTCGAACAAAGTTTGACATATAATGGATATATCGAACTCAGCCACCCCAAACCGCCCGCGCTCCATTGACAGGCGGCGAGCTTTCCCGCAACTCTCGAAAGTAGCGGTAGAGCGGCGGGCGTTGACGAATGCTGCACACATCAATGGCGCCGAGAGCGCCACTTTAACGTAGTGGCATACATGCGCCGCAGCCTTGCGGTAGAGGTTCTTGAATGAGGAAAGTGAAGAGAGAAGTGCGGAGCTGTTATTTTCTTTCAATATGAAGGCACCGACATGGCTTCGCGTGGGGGAAGGGTGAGTGGGAGGTAAAGATTGAGGAGGAAAGTATAGGAGGGAAAGGACGCAGACGACTGTCTCGGACGTGGCCTGCGCGGCCGCCGGGAAAGGAAAAGCAGTCAGGCGAGCCGGCATGGGCGGGCCATGTGCCCACTTTACACCCGGACCCACGCCGCAGCCTTGCAGCTTGCAGTCGTTGCAGTCTCTATGGTGTCAACGGCACACTGCGCACTTGTTGCAAGCTCCTCCCCTGTAGCATCGGCAGGCATCGGTCGTTGTGCTCGCAGTGTTCGTGCGTTCGGAGTTAGGCCTGTTGCGCACTGTTCAGAGTTGGGCCTGTCGCGCGCTGTGGTGCGCGACAGGCCTAACTCCGAACGGCGGAGCTCACAACAGCGGAGCTCACGGATGTGGGGATTGTCGCCGAAGCTACTGCTGAGCAGCCAAATAAAGACTCTGCCGAGGTGGATCCCGCAAGCGCTGATGGTGCCCCGCTACCGACATCAGCTGAGGTCGTAGCTGCCTTGGCCCTTGTGCGCCGCCACTGCGGCGCGATTGAAGACACCGGCCTATCACTTATGGATCGCCTGGACTATATTGAGGATGCAGTCGTCAAACATGCCATGGCCAACAAAAAGCAGGCTACTCTTTTTCAATATTTTAAACCAACACAATAAATACTATGTTTGAATCATCAAGTGATTATTTAATGCACCACGCTTGAACAGTTCGTTGGTCGTTTTCAGCAAGCTGTTGACGCATTTTTTTCGTGATTTTTTTATATCGAATTCTTGATATACCGAACTATTTCACGATCACCGCGCCGTTCGATATATTGAGGTTCGACTGCACTATGTAAATCGTCTCTGAACAATTAACCATCACAAACTCAAGCATACGAGCTTTTCAGCAGTGATAAGTGGGTCGTTAGCTACTTATTACAACAGAAAAGACAAGATGCAAGACTTTTCTGGCAGTGCTCCATTAAAAAGGTTCAAAAATCTCCTAAACCACCTCGAGGTGCTTGGGACGCTCTCTGTATGAAGGGGCAGAGGGGGCATTGAAAAGCACTGCTGGTTTTAAGTGTCGTCTGTACAAGTCGCTTGAGCTCACTTAGAAAAGGTTTGAATGATTGGGTGGTTTTGAAATGTTCAAATAACAGAATATCACCTCCTGTCCTAATTAACAGATAGCTAAAACAAAATGAGAATGACTAGACAAGCTTTTCCTACACAAAAGTAGCCGAGCAAACAGTCTCTTTAGATAGAAGACATAGATAGTCGTAACAGCAGACATGCTAAATCTTACCCGAGCAATCGCTGTTCTCGCCGCTTCAATTCCAAACGTGTTGGCAATGGCATGAACGTCGTTACTGTAGATGCGCTTCAGATCAATTATTTCACCATATCGGAACATCTCCTGCAACACACAATGCACCACTATTATGTTTACTTCCAGTGATGGAGAATGTTCCAGGGCTGCTCCTGGAGCAATAAATGGCTATTTAGGAGAATACATGAATATCTTGAAGCAGCTCCATACAGCTAAACATGAATGAAATGGTGAAAAAAGAGCATTCTCAATTTGAAGACACATTTGAACTTTGCAAAGAAGACGGCACTGTGCTTCATGTCTGTTTGTATTCTATATTTCTAATATGTTCTCTTCTTCACACAGTTTGAAAGCGCCTTCAAAATTGATTAACCAGCTAGTCAACAATATGCCTCATTTGACACTACGTCGCTACGCCTCACAACACAACAATGTTCTCGCTGAATATAGCCACAAAACTTTGAAGAAACCAAGCCTTAACGTGAACACTGGCACACTCATGTTGATAGGCTCATGAGATTACTTTGTCTCCTTGTTGTTGTACTGCTTGGGTAACTGCACTATTCAAATTTAATTACCAAACCTTTCATAACATAATAATTACACAGGTAATAAAAAGGTTGCAAAGAACAGCAAAAAGCAATGAATGACGAAATTTAATGCAACCTAGGTCTTGTGTTGATCTTCTTTCTAAAAAGAAAAGAGGCAGTTGACCTTTACATTATCAGAATCACTATAACATGAAAGTAAAACGTGCCTGTACAAAGGCAATTGAATGTTTACTGTACATTGATATAGGAGAGTTAGCACAATGGACACACCCACACTGATGCAAAATCCATGACAAATAATTAAAGGGAGCCAAAACTGGCCAGAACGGGTGATTAAATTACAGGAGAAAGAAAAAGAGCATGAATTATGGTGACAGCACACTTTTCGCGATCTGAGTAGGATTTATATTTTCAAATTTCGCTTAAAAGTAACCAAAACCGGCACTTCGCGTCTCTAGCGCAAGAGCCACGAACCACAAGTATGATGTCCTTATTACATTGCTTTAATTACTTAAAGCTAATAACTTTGCTGTGATTACTTAAAGTGCACCAGAATGAGGACTTATATTTGGAATATGTATGTTATTGTTCATTTTTGTTTGTTTCTATACGCCTTGCAAGGTAAAAGAAGTTAAGCATAAAAATCGGCGCTGCTTTCGTGGCATCTGCAGGAAACCAAGTGCAGTTGCGCATGCGCGCGGCTGCGCGCGTTTCCAGAGTAGCTCGATTCCTGTTATGTCGGGAACGTTGGAAGAAGCACGCGAGCTTGTGAATGAGGTCGCTGCGGCACGTAAAATGCCATGGACCTACTGCTCTATGAAAAATTGCTATCACTCATGCGTGCTGCTGATAGTGGCGATGGTGGCTATCCGTCGGATTTGTTGCTACCGCTGTCATCCATTGAAGCGTGTCGCTCTGGTGCTACTTGATAGGGGTCCGAATTTTGCGCACGCACGCAAACCAAAATTCGTTCCTTTAACCCACTCAAGTTGTCAAGTGATGACATATCGAAGCCGTCCAACTATGGCAGTACGTAAAGTACCATGCGTGAAATGTCGATCATGTGTAAACCCATCGTTTCGTTTTCGAAGACTTTGCTTAGCTCGACTTGGCTTAAGTCCGAAAAATGACCTGTGCACAGCCAAAAGTACTTGCATAAAAAGCTCCGGGAAAATGCTGTAACTCCTGTGAATAATTTAGTACGCTAGAAAGCAGTGGTCGCGGAACTGCAGGCTTGACAAACACAACATTGTGTGTCTGTACTTAGGGTTTCACTCTTCATCACTGCTGGCGTTACACTGGCGTATAATCGCTATCGCGATCATATCCACTGTTTGCAGCATGTCTCCTTAAGACTGCATAATTGCTGCAATATAAAAAAATTCCGATTATAAATGTTCTACGGCGTCTTCCGTGTTAACCTTCCGTGATTACAAGCTCAGATTAAAAAACTTTGTTTCACTCAAGAGAACGGGTACCTTAAATATTGGTTGTGGGTGCTTTTAAAGAAAGCACTGCGGTAGCTGTAGATGTTAATGGCGAGAGCATAACAAAAAGAGAAAGAGGTGTGACAGCTAGAGTGGCGGATCTACAGGCGAGAGGACAGCAGCGGCGATTCCCCCCTCCCCCCCCCCCAATGTCCTTGTTAGCACCACCCTCTTCTTTACTTTAGTGCTCATAGTTCACCTCCTATTACCAATTATTACAAAGGAGAGAAGGCACTGTGAGTACACACTAAGGGTATTTATGCTATGAAGGGGTTTTTCTGCTAATAAAAACAAACAGAAGTCATGACCTAAAATGAGCGGTTGGATCCGCCCCTGGGAGGGGGGAGGTCATATGTCATCCCGACTACCTCACCCCCCCACATGTGAAAACTCAAAAAAGAAAAAAAAAACAGGCGCCTGCGCTCAGCACCCAGCTCGTCACGATGCGCCGACGCGTGTTTATCTCCCACGCGAACTTTGCCCCGCAGATGAAGGGGAGGGTAGATGTCTATGCGCACACGCTTAGCCTTCGGTGGAAAAATAGAGCCTTCGACTTTGACCAGAATGATTGCGTTTAGTTGCCGGGCGCACAAAGATTACTTCGCTCGCTGGACAGGCCCCATTTGCGAAAAGAGTGCGCTTTTGAAAAACAGCGAAGTAACAACTAAAGCACATGTTAGTTCACACTCATATATGTACCTGTGATTACATTTCGTGCCTCGTTTTTGTTTAAACAGCGCATAAAGTGCCGAGTGGCAAACGTTGTTAGTTTGCTCTCATCCTGTGAATTGTTTTCGTGCGTCATTTGCGCGTGAGCAGCGCATGCTTGCCACTCCTAGCGTTACATTCAAAGTTGTTGCTACTTCTGTCATTAATTGCTTCGCCCTTGCGGCGAAACTGTGACTTCTTTAAATTTTGGACAACCGTGTTGTCGTCACTGAGTGAATATCAGATGAGGTGTTGATAGAAACTCTCCGAGACCACGGTGACGACAGTTCCTCAAAGGTCGACACGTCACGCGCTTCTATCTTGCGCCGCGAGTTCGCAGGCTGGTAGCTTTTGCAATTAGCTGATTACTTCTGGCAACACAATAGCGCGATGAATGCAATTCAATGAACACGATAGTAAGAAATTGTAATGGTATATGAAGTAAGGCTGCAGCCAACCCTTTTGGATCGGATATCGCGGAACTCCTACAAAATGCTGGTGTGAGAAAATACGGCCTCTCCAGGGAGAAGTGCTCTTTTCACACAGACATTTCGCGTTGAAACGGCACTGATACTTGCTGAGAGAGCAAATCCAAGTTCATTAATGCTACTCCATCGATTCCCCCTGCCCTCCCCGCGTTATTTCATGCTCATTCAAGACGAGTGGTTTACTCTGTCTGAGCATTCGACGGCAGTTCTAACACGCGGGGTTATCTTATGCACTTTCCAGGTGATAGAAACGGGCCGACTTATTTGATCTCTGCTTCAGCAGCGCTCTCGCGCTTTTACCCACTCGTGAAAGTTACGATGCGGTGGCATCGTAATCTTATCAATTTTGACTTGTTACGGAACATGGCGGCGATGGAAAAAACCCGCCAAGTGTATCCATGCAATTACTATCGCAATAATAACACAGTTTTTTTACTGTGAAATAAGTGTTTTTGGTTAGTTCTCCTTCAGTACCCCTCTTGTTAAATTTGCACGTTTATTTTCCGAATTTTCGTACCGAACTTGCATATAACGAAACCCTCTTTATAACAAAGTTTTCTGAGACTTCATCGATTTCGTTATATCCAGGTTTCACTTTATTAATAAAAAAACTTGCAAAAAACCATGATATATGCACAAAAGATGCACCTAAATCGTGAAATTTGCTGAAATTGCATCACGCTGTGCCAAAATGTTCAGACAGCCTCAAAATTTTGTCAGATGCGCTAATTTCAGCGAGAAATGCAGGCCACGTTGGCCACCTGCAGTTTGCGGCATCTGTCAAAGCGTGCAGACCCTAATTATAGTGCCTAGCATATACTTAAAATATTCTAGGCAGCCGCCCTACACTCACAAGACATGATCGACCGGATAAAGTAACAACGCTGCGCGCCCATCAGTCTGCTGACCACAGCTGATACCTGTCGGCGGGATGACAGAACTTCAAGACAGAAATGCGTTGCTGTAGCCACCAGCACTACGAGGAAAATGTAAATTTCCTAGCCTGAAAATACGGTTATCCCTTGTTAGGAACTAAAGCTGGAAGCGTATGCCGCATTTTTTTTGCGCGAACGAGCTTGCAGTGCTGTGAACGCCAGTGTTGCTAGCGACCACGTAGATTGCCTTAGCAGTCGATCATAAAACATTTTTGTTGATCTGAAGTTGCGTCGTCTCGATAGATATCCGGTACGGTGCCGATAGATATTTGGTACCATCGCCGGGTCAACGGGCGTGCGGAGCCAACGACTGTTGCTACTTTACCTGGCCAAATGCACCTCCCAAACGAGCTGAAGCGGCACCTAACCCCACGATGGAAGAAAAAAAGGAGAGGAGTGGTGAGTGGGGGGGGTGTAGCAGTTAGAAATTTTTTTTGCTGTTCCAACTTGTGCAGAAAATGCTGCTTAAGCCACCTTCGCCGCAATACACCGGTGCTTTGCAGAAAAGCATACAGTAAAAGCTCGTTAATTTGGATTTCACGGGACCGGAAAAACTGTTCGAATTAACCGAATGCCGAATTAACGAATGAACAGGGAAAACAACATTTAAAATGAAGCAGCAGGAGCATTCCTTTATTTGTTGAAGTATTTTGTAATTGTCGTCTGCGTTTTCGCGCAGTTTCCGGCTGACATCACAATTTTTCTTAACTGTTCCAAATGGCCAACAGCACGCAAGCTGTCGGGAATGTTCAGGCAAGCGTCCTCTAATATTAACAGCGCCTCCGAGACTTCCCGTGAGGTGCGATGAGGTCGCGGCTGTATCTCCTCGCATGATTATTCGTCGGAATTGTGGTCTTCATGGGCGCCCGTGACATCATTACTAATCTCTTGATCGCTCAGGAGACCACTCGTGGCGAC